CCACATGTGGTCTGTTTACAGCAAAATCTTCCAAATGCAAGCACCACACCTCAGACTGCAGGCTTTTTATCTGCTTACTTAATAATGATATAACAGAGGAATCGCACACACACCTGCCCATGGGCCCTTAAAGAAAAAAAAAAAAAAAAAAAAGGAGGGTGGCACATGTGGAGGAGCTTCAGCTCCTAAACACGTCAGAGACTCTAAAATGAAAGCTGAGAGTCTACACATCGTGTCCATGATATAACTATAATTCAAATGTTTCAGTAGACATAAAACAAACTAATTTTGTGTCAGTGTTATACATGGACGTAGCTTCCTGTCAAACTCACCTCCAGCTCCAGGAAGAGTCTCCAGCTTTGCTCCCACTGCTGAACCCCTTCAAAAAGCTCTTTGTGATCCTCATAATGCTGCTTCAAGCGCTGGATCTCAGCATCGTGCAGACTTAACAGATCTTCAGTAAAGTCCTCTAAAACAATCAGTCAGCTTCAGTTAAAAAAAACGAACAAAAAGCTAAATGAATGTGTGACGAACAAGAAAACCCACCACTAAAATATGGTGTGAAAGCCTGCCGCTGCTCTGTGCTGAGGAAGCACTTCTCCCAGAAGACAGTGATCTCAGAGCGGATGGCATCTATGACATTGCGGATGTTCTGCAGTTTGAGCTCCTCGAGACGCTGGACTTCTGTTTGTAACTGAGGAGGACAAATAAAGATCAAACAACACGGCAAAACAGCAGCCACAGAACTGGAACTCACAGCTGTCCACAAAGAACAGAAAAAATAATCTGCAGCATCTTCTCACCGCATCCAAATTCCTCTTCTTGGACGTGACCATGTGTTGGCTGAAAGCCTCCCTTTCCTCCCGTGGAACCTGCAGTCTGTCCCACAGCTGCTGGATCTTCTCTCTGTGACTCTCACACATGGCCTCGTTCTCTGCCTTGCGTTCCTCAAGCTGCAAGATCAACACAGCATCAGTTAGCAACTCAGCAGGTTGGGCTGAAATGACGATTTATGCAAAAAAAAAAAAAAGATTCTGCTCACCTGGCAAAGAAGCAGTTTGAGTGACGTAATGTTGTCTCTAGAGAGGCAAAAAGAGTCCTCATCCTCACAGACCACGTCCTTCTCAAAGCTGGTTTCGGGGACACGGTCCAGCTCCTCCATGTATAAAATGATCTGCTTTTTGAGCTCCGTGAACTCAGCGTGTCGCTTCACCTGGAAACATGAAGCAGTCAAAATGTGACGTAACAAAGAGGAAGAAACAAAACCTGCTCAAACAGTGCTGCACCCAGACTGATCTCAGCATGTCCAGTGACATCTCTCCTGCTTGTAGCAGTGTTCATCCCACAGTTTCTCTTCATGCAGCCACATTAATGTTCTGTTAGAGGTGTGGTTTGAACTACGAGGTCCTACCCTCTCTTCATTCTGGTTGGCGATGTGCTGGTGGAAGTTGTCCAGTGTTTCCAGTGAGGGGACGGAGTCGGGAGCGATGCCGTACGGCACGGAGCACAGGACGTCGCACAGGTCCTGGTCCTGCTCCAGCAGAGCCTTCAGCTGCTGCATCCGCTGAGCCTTCTCCTTTATCAGGGCCTCCACCTGTGTGCGGATGTTCTTCTCTTGCTGGAGCATGCTGATGCCAGCCTCTTCCTTAATATGCAAACAAATTTAACAGCAAAAAGTTTTGTTTTTTTTAAAGTCACTAAATTGTCATTAAAGACATCAGCTGATAACTACAGTGACTGACAGGCATGAAGTTAGAAATGGTTTTACAGCAAAAGGAGGAAGCAGGTTAGGCTTGTTGAATATCAATGATATAATCAGTCATTTGCCAAGGAGGATCCTCGATGACGTGTAATTAAATGTTTGATTCAGTTCCCAGTTAAACACGTTGAGATGGAAACGCGCTGTTACCTCGAACACGGGCAGCTGAAGCTCCAAGCAGAGTTTCTCCATTTCTGTTTTGCATGTCTGAAGGCTAAGGATGAGCCTCTTTTTCAGAGATTCCTCTTCTTGAATCATCATGTCTAATAAATTCTGTTGGAGAAACGCAGCAAATCAAACAGGAGTTTAGTGTAAATATCAAAATTCTCTTCAACAGCTGATCACGGGAGGTTATTGTGATTATTTAGGAAACAGTCATTTCAATTTCCATTTCAGTTCATGAAATCCAGATATAATCGGCAACAAAGACTTTGGTGGTTAGCTTACTGCTCCTTGTAAAGGTAAACCAAAGAGCTAGCACAGTTCTTCGTTTTAAAATGCACATTAGGAGAGCAACAACTTACCCAAACTATGGTATCTGTTTAGATATTAGTTCTGATGTTTCTACTGAAATAAGGGGGATAAAATACATTTTGAACAATCACCAATTCTAGTTGGGACTCAATCAGCTGATATTAATTTGCACTGAGTGGCAAAAATTGCTTTCAGTCCTGATGCACTTCTGCTGGTGTCATGACTTTCCTTGGCTTTGAATTCTTTGCATGTGTTGATTGGACAGGTTGTTACTGACTTCTGGTGAAAACTTCATGTCAATAGCACAGAAATATATTTACTTCCAGATGCATCTGATCTGCAGATAACTTTAACTCTATTGTAGTTTTTAGACTATAATAGGCATCACTACAGTGGCTATCAGCTTTCTTTCTGAAGCGGAGCTTTCAACTCTGAACAAACTCATAAAATGTTGTGTTTCATGGGTCACATGACTCCTCTCCCACACAAAATGATCTGCATGTCTACTCCAATCAGATGATGACAAAATGATCATCTATAAAGAATCTGAAAAAATATAACAGTAAAATGTAACAGTGTTGCAAAAGATCAAGCAATGGATGCTGCAGCAACCTGACGATGCAGCACACAGAGCAGTGAAATAAACTCTGTGCTGCTGTTTATTTCTAAGGTTAGTGCTGCACACATTATAACAGTGGAACCTTAAACTGGATCCGTTTAAACATTAAATGTTACCACAGCATAATGAAGGAGACGCTTTACTTTGTAGTCAGATCAGCGACAAACTGATGTTGCTGACCGAACAGGCAGAGGTGATGCGCCCTGCGCTCTAGTGGCTGCAGCTGCAGTGTAAAAGCCATCTGCTGCGACCGGCTGAGGTATTAATATCATCAGAGCTGTAAATATTTTCCACTGCCAAAGATCTCTTAGTAACAAGCCTTGCCACTCTACAACAGTCATATTGAAATATTTCTGAGCACTTGTTCAGGCAG